GCATGGGTCGCCACTGTACGAGACGACGGTCGAAGACGACGTCGCCATGGAAGACGAAAGGAGGGCGCTCTGAGCGCGCGCGCGGTCTGGCCTCTGCGCAGCCTAGAGCTATGTTGGCATCTCTCGCCAGTACACGCACTCTCTCGAGCGGCGCCTGGCAGCTTGCAGCACACGAACAATACATCTCAACATGAGCTCATGTGGAGCCGCCTGAACCACAGCTCCTCAAAGGATGGAGATGAAGCACACGGAGAATAGCTGCAAACCATAATGCAAGGCCACAGTAAACCAGCGACAGAATCGTGTGTAGACTGGATCAGAGACTGAGCCAGTAAGCGTGAAGACGAGCTGCATGTACCGCATCACTTGGTTCGACCCACCTTCGATCTGTGATCAGCATGGGAAAGCTGCGGTTGTCGTCGAGCGGGCCCTGATATCAACTCTCAGTCAGCAGACCTTCCCTCTTGGTTACATAGGACTACCCCTCGTAACTAAGAGTCGTCTTCCATACACATAGATGTGTGTATCCGTAACCATGCCGCAGGCACTAAGTGGAGTGTCATCTGGTTCCTCCGAGTTTTCTGCATTGGGTCTTCCAAGTCGTGTGGTTCAGAGCGCTCAACATGACTTGTCCAGGAGCCGAAGAATTATGCAAAACGTATGTATGTTTAGTATCGTCGCCCGCGGAAGGGAGAACCCGAACTGGCCCCGCGAGCACCATTGTGCCAAGATGGCCCCTGAGACCGCCAAAGGGCCCTTGGTCGCCCCAGAGGCTCCACAATACCTCCAAGACGTCCCTAAGAGGCCCCCCCAAAGAGGCCCCCTCAAGAGGTCTCCAGGAGGCCCCAAGAGGCCCCAAGGGGCCTCCAAGAGGCGCCCGAGATGCATCCCAAGAGACCCCGAGAGGCATCCAAGAAGACTCTGACCCACAATGCAGACACGGTGTCGAGATGGGCCGAAGGCGACTATACACATGTTTGTATACATACACACATGCATGCATACATGCATTATCTTTGTATGTCTATATATATATATAGATGTATAAATGTATACGTGCACGAGCATGTGTGCTGTATACTCATATGTGAACCGAATAACCAAACCATACATACATATATATACACACACACAACTATGTATGCATGTATGCATGCATGTATGTATGTGTGTATGTATGTATGTATGTATGTATGTATGTATGTATGTATGTATGTATGTATGTGTGTATGTATGTATATGTATATGTATATGTATATGTATATGTATATGTATATGTATATGTATATGTATATGTATATGTATATGTATATGTATATGTATATGTGTATGTGTATGTGTATGTGTGTATGTGTGTATGTGTGTATGTGTGTATGTGTGTATGTGTGTATGTGTGTATGTGTGTATGTGTGTATGTATGTATGTATGTATGTACGTACGTACGTACGTACGTACGTACGTACGTATGTATGTATGTATGTATGTATGTATGTGTGTGTATGTATGTATGTATGTATGTGTATGTAGGTATGTATGTATGTAAGTATGCATGTATGTATGTATGTGTGTGTATGTATGTATGTATGTATGTATGTATGTATGTATGTGTGTATGTTTGTATGTATGTGTGTATGTATGTATGTATGTATGTATGTATGTATGTATGTATGTATGTATGTATGTTGTATATGTGTGTATGTGTGTATGTGTATATGTGTGTATGTGTGTGTATGTGTGTATGTATGCATGTATGCATGCATACATGTATGTATGTATGTATGTATGTATGTATGTATGTATGTATGTATGTATGTATGGGTGTGCGTATGTAAGTATGTATGTATGTATGGATGGATGGATGTATGTATGCATGTACGTATGTATGTATGTATGCATGCATGTATGTATGTGTATGTATGCATGCACATGCGTATAGATGTGCGCATACATACCTGCTATGACTGTGCTCGCCCAAACGGTGCAAGTGGTGAAAACCAAAAGACAGTGAAGGCAGAGGCCGAGGCTGCACGCCAAGGTGAGAGTCGCGCGTGCCGTCATGAATGATCCGACTCGCGTAAGTCTCACAATGGCAGCGCATACGCTGCGACTGGTTGTGAAGCGCCTGGACGCCCCTAGGAAGCCATTGGGTGAGAATCAAGCCTTTCGGCGGGAGGCCCCTGAACGCGAATAACGCCACTACAGCGTCTAAGGCCCCGAAGTTCCTGAGGCAATCAGAAACTATGGATGCCTGCACGGGCTCCCCTCGTCATAATAGTTTTCGAGAGAGCCTCATGTGCGAAGTACTTACTGGCGCCCGCACTCCAACGTAGGTCATCGTAGGACTTCTGAACGACATTGAAGGGGCGACAGGACGCGGCATCGCAGGAGCGTGTCAACAACTTTTGAAATTAATTTTACCGAGGGCTGTAGAAACAAGGCTGTAGAAACAAGGGCCCCCGCGGTCCTCTGCAAGCAGCGCCTCGCTCTGCTCGAGAACCACCTGACAGGGGGGGGGGAGGAAAGGGGAGGGCAGGAGGAGGGGGGGGAGGGGAGGGGAGGGGAGGGGGAGGGGAGGGGGAGGGGAGGAGGAAGTGGAGGGGAGGAGGGAGGGGGGGGGGGAGGGGGGGGAGGGGGGGCAATATCGCGGGACTCTCGCGCAGGATGGGGACAGGGCCGCAGCGGGGGTATAGGCAGGGGAGACGAGGGGAAGGGGAGAAGGGCGAGAGGAGAAAGGGAGGGCGGAGCGAGGAGAGGGGAGTGCAAGGGAAGCGGGTGGGACGTGAAGGGGAGGGAAGACCAGAAGGGACGGGGAAGGGCAGAAGGGAAAAAAAACAAAAAAAAAAAAAAAAAAAAAAAAAAAATGGCAGGGAGGGACAGGGAGGAGGAGGTGGAGAAGGACGTATGCGGGGGCGCTACGCGGCAGCATCGGCGGGGCGCGTCGAAAGCGGAGAGAGACCTCGCCTCTGCTCTGGCGCGGCCGAAAGTTTCGTGAACGCGTCGTCCGCCGGCCATCGCCTCGCGGTAGCAGCGGCACGCTCTCGCCTCAAAGGACATCGCCCCTGCTCTGGCGTAGCTGAGGGTCTCGACAGCGCGTCATCCGCCAGCCTCGCCTCGTGGCAGCAGTACCACGCCCCAACGAAGCTCCCGTCGTCGTGGACAGCTTGGTTCGAGGCTGCGCCTGTCAGACAACAAAACCGTCTGTCGAGCACGTCCTTGAGACGCGTCGAACAAACGCAACATGGCCCTCATACCCGGACACCAAATCAAACAGGGCCATACACCACGCACAGCGCTTCATGTTGCAATATCCTGCGATGGCGAACAAAGACGCATTGCCGACGACATCTGGAGCCTAACTAAGATACAATTAAAAGCATCCAACAACGTCCTCACATGATCAAGACTAGCCAGGCACAAAACGTCGGAAACGTGCTCCGTCGCGGCGCGGCAGAGGCGATCCGCTCGCGCGTCGAGCAACCTGGGCTACGGCGTTGCGAATTGTCCCGCATGCAAGAGGGAGGGGGGAAAAAAAGAGACCGTCGCGGAGGAGGAGGGAGGGAGGGGGCGCTCTCACGCGGCGGCGCCGCTGGGAGCGCGCGGGGCGGCCAGGCTGCGGGGCAGCCCCTCGCAGCCCCGCAGGGCGGCGTCGCAGGGCGCTCCCAGGGGCGGGGCCAGCAGCCGCAGTGCGGGAAGGGCCTAACAAGCGGGGGGCGGGAGCGGCGGGCGACCGGCGGACCGAGGGCGCCCGAGCGGAGGGAGCGGGGAGGCGGCAGCTAGGGCGCGCGGCGGCGGGTTGTCCAGGCCAGCACGGTGCAGCAGGCGCTGAGGCAGCTGCAGGGAGGCGGGCCGACGCGGACAGGCGGGGCGGGCGCCAAGAGGCTGAGCGCCAAAAGGCACCTGGGCGGTGCAGGCCAAGGCACAGGCGGGGAGGCGGGGGGGCGGAGAAGCAGATGCCCGCCCAGGTCCGGTGCACGCATCACAGGAGGCGCCCAATGCAAGTAGAATATGGGCGTGGGCCCCCGACGGGAGGGGAACCAAAACGGGGGGGAAAGTCGCAACAGCGGTGTCCCCCAATTGGAGGCAGAACATGCTTTGCTGGCAGGGGCGGCGGCCAGCCTGCAGAGCCCAGGAGCGGGTGGGCAGCGAGCGCTCCATCCACACCGTCCGAGGCGGGGCCTGGGGCGTCGGCGTTTTGCGGCGACCGACGGCGGGCAGGGCGGGCACGGCACCGAAAGCAGCCGCGCCAGCGCGGCGGGGTGAGGAGTGACGAGCAGCCAGTACAACACGTCGCGCGGGCAAGGAGACCCAAGACGTGCGAGGCGCAGCACCTGGCGGGGCTGCCGCGCCGGCGCGCAGGGGAGCGCAGCCCCAGCTGGGGGCGCGCGTGGAGGGGCGTCTGCAAGACAGGCAGGCACTGGCCAACCGGCGGCGGGCAGGCTGGGCGCTCCGCTGGGGCGGGGCGTGCCAGGGCCAGGTGGGGGCGCACCGCCTGAGGTGGGCGGCGCGCCCGCTGGAGAGCACCTGATCCTCTGCGTGCCGCGCCGAGACCATCACGCCCAGGCACGACCACTGGGCTTTAACACATGAGGCGCCAAACGGCGATGCATCCATGACCCGCCGCCACCGGTCGTGGGCCGCGCCTGGGACTAGGGCCGTTTTAAAGGAGCAGCGGCAGTCCTCCTGCCATCGCCGCGCTCCTGCAACGGCAGCGTGGCCGAGGTCGTGCGCGAGTGCGTCAAGGGCCAGGTCAGGAGGGAGCCTGGTAATGCGCGCATGCCCTTCGGGCGCGCCATGCGCTTCCAGCGGCGTGGCTGCGAGAAGGTTATCCAAGCCTTCCCAGGGGGGGAAGGCGAGGCCCCCGCGCGTGTGCGAGGCGACGAGAAGCCCCGCCGCGTAGGAAGCCCAAGGAAGCAGCACCGTTGCTCGCAGGGCGAGCTGCGCGGAGTCGAGATGGCCGGTCAGGTCGTCAGCACAGGCGGGGCACCTGCCCGAAGCTGCGGCAGCGGTGGCCTCTATCACGGGGTCGTTGGCCATGCACCAAAGAAGGGGGGACGCACTGGCCCCCCATGGCAATCGAACGCTGGGGCCTGTGCCGTGGCCCCGTGTGCTTCCATTTGCAAGTCTGGGCCTCACGGTCGACGACCAATGCGAGGAGCGCGTGATGCAGCCAAGTTGGTCAAGCCCCAGCGGCGCGGGAGGGCTGCTCACCACAGCAGGGACAGGTCTCTCGAAGGCTCTGTTCCTGTCGGCGAACAGAATGGCAGGCGCAAGGGTCGATCCCCTGCCGGCTGTCGTCCGTTGGACATAGCCCTGGACTACTGGCCCCCGCATCGTCCCAGCAGCGCGTTCCAGGCGTCCTCGGGACTATGCCCTGCCACAGCGGTGGCTACTCCGGATTCCATAATGAAGTGGGGGAAGTCAGATTTGGGGGGGCTGTCTTGGGGGGTTCGGGGGGGTCTGGGCAAGGGGCCGCCCTTTCATGGAAGGCCTGGGGGGTAGAACTTCTCGTCTAGGAGGGTTGTGACCCCCTTCCTCTTTTAATGCGAAACCTGGAGTAGGTGGTCGGCAGCGTCCCGAGTGTTAGAGCCACACTGTCCTCTCTTGGCCACTTGGTCCCGTGACGGCTGCGGTTCGACCAGGGGCCCCAGCAGGTCGGCCAGGGAGGCGCTTAACAAGCGGCGCATGCAGGCACGGCAGGTTTGCGTCGTGTCGACCCCAGCGTTGGTTCCTGACACCGTGGGGACCGTTCAAACTTGAACGATCGGCCCTTTTCAAAAAGGCGGGATCGTTCAAGGATGGGCCGATTCTGGGCCACAGGCAGAGTTCATTCAACCTTGAACGCCGCGCTGGGATCGCCGCCGGTCGACGCGACGCGAACCTGCCGTAGGGAGCTGCGGCGGGCGCAGGTCGTTGGGCCGCTCGGTGTTGGGAACCTTGGGAATCCATCTGAATGGGGGCACGCGACTCTTAAAAAAATGGGAGCGACACGATTTTTGTTTTAAATTCGCGGGGGGGGCGGGCAGGACACGAATAAACCCTGCGCTCGCGGCGACGCTCGAGGGCGCCTGGCGCGCGCGCGCCGCCGCACAGGAGGAGGAAAAGGAGAGGGGGAGGAGAGGCAACCGACGAGGAGGAGAAGGGGGATAACAAGGAGGAGGAGGAGGAGGAGGAGGAGGAGGAGGCCGACGGCCCCAGGACCACGTCAAGAACGGATGGCTGCGCCGCGCCTCCGCCATGTGCCGGGCAGTGGCCAGGCGGCACGCAGCGGAGGTGGCGCCTGGACGGTGAGCCTCATGGGGTTCCCCGTCCACTCCGGGGGGCGCTTTCGCGGGGTGCTGGAGTGAAGCTCCCAGAAGGCCCCAAGAGTACCCCCAGAGGCTCCCAAGATGCCCCCCCTCCTCTTCCTCCTCCTCCTCCTCCTTCTCCTCCTCCTCCTCCTCCTCCTCCTCCTCCTCCTCCTCCTCCTGCTCCTCCTGCTCCTCCTCCTCCTCCTCCTCCTCCTGATCTTCCCCGTCATCCTCCCCCAAGTGTTCCAGGGGCTCCTGGCGTGCTAGATCCTAATGGTTTGGTTTTGGCTCTTTTTTCCAGGAGAACTCTCCCTGTGACTTTTGCCCGTCCCGCCGGCCACCCGGAAGGGACCCGAGAGAACCTCAACGCCCGGAAAAAATCCCATCAGACAGCCCAAGATAGCCTCCAAGAGGGCCAAGATGGCCCAAGATGGCCTCTAAGTTCGCCCAAGATGGTCCAAGACAGACTCCAAGACGGCCAAGGGGAAGGTCCATGCTGCCTCCATATCCGCCCAAGAAGCCTCCAGGCCGGCCCAAGATGGCCTCAAGATGGCCCAAGACGGCCAGAGAGGCCCCCAAGAGGCCCCCAAGAGGCCCCCAAGAGGCCCCCAAGAGGCCTCCAAGACGGCCCAAGAAGCCTCCAAGAGGTCCTCCAGGAAGGCCCGACGAGGCCAAACTTACTGATTGTACTAAGGTTTTGTTGAAGGATTTTGGCATTTGCTTCTGTTCGGCCTTCCGACGGCCCGAGACGGCCTCAGAGCCCCCAAAGATCGCCCCAAGATCGCCCAAGAGCCCAAGTCGGCCCAGAGAGGCCCCCAAGACGGCTTCCGACGGCAGAAGACGGGCCACGAATGCCCTAAGACGGCAAAAGAAGCCCCTGAGAAGCCCCCAAAGGCCCCCAAGAGGCCCAAGGAGGCCCCTAAGATGCATCCAAGAGGCTCCCAGGAAGCTCCCAGGAGGCCCCAAGAGTGCTCCCAGAGGCTCCCAAGATGCCCCTTCCTCCTCTTCCTCCTGATATTCACCGCCATCCTCCCCCAAGTGTTCCCCGAAGGGTTTCTGCAACTGCTGGGGGAACACATGGCCCGATAGCGTGGCAGAGCTCTTGCCACAACGCTCGGCCACATGGGCGATTCCAAAAGGCAAGAGGCGGCGGTGATTCGCCGTAGGCGTCTTCGATATTTCGGGCGATCCTGAGAGCCCCTGGGATCGCGCA